AGAATTTTAAAAAACAGACTTGTTGCTGTCAAGTCCATTTGAACTCACAGTGATCCATCAGGACAGAATAGAATTTCCCCACTGGGTTTCCAAGACTGTAATCTTTATGGAAGCACATTGCTATGTCTTTTACCCGTGTAGCCACTGGTGGATTTGAACTGCTGACTTCTTGGTTATCAGCTGAGTGCTTAACCACTTTACTACCTCGATTCATAATATTTCAGCATGCATCCCTTAATACTAAGTACATTATCCTGTATAATCATAATGCTTTCACACCTATGAAAATAATAATTCAATAAAATGTAATACAGTTCCTATTCAGATTTTCCCAGTTGTTGTCTCAAAGTTGTTTTATGTACATGTATGTGTGTTTTATATATGTGTCTTATATACATATATATGTGTCTTGAATACATATATATGTGTATATATCTTTAATGCAGGATTCATTTAAGGCCCACACCTTTGTATTAGGTTGTTTTGACATTTTTAATGGCTTCATGATTTTCTACTTTATGGATTATGAAATGATTTAACCATTCCCTTAATACTGAACTCAAGGTTGATTTTTATTAACAGCAAGTTTTGATAAATAAGTTAGTGCAGGAAATCGTTTCACATTTTAGATTATATCATAGATTGAAATATGGGATATATTAGGTATAAACAGTTTTCATGTCTTCAAATTGTTTTCCAGAAAGGCTACATTAAGTACTGCTTATCTTTGTTTGGGCAACACTAAATAGTAGTACAGTATTAATGTACATTCTGATTTATAAAAATCATATGGTTTCTCTAATTTCTTTACAAATTTAAAAATACTTGTGCAGGTAGTCTCTCTGTATAACTCTGTCATAAGTTGGTTTGACTATAAGTCGTATACCTCTTTTTTTTTAGTTTTTTTTTTTTTTATTGCCTGTTACGCAGTAGAGTTTTTTGTTTTTTTTTAATTTAAGGTTTTTATTGTGGATTGAGTGAAAGTTTACAGGGCACATCATCAGTTTCACATTCAACACTTCATATAACT